TATTTCTTCCCATATGAACTTCCGCCGAGTATCCTGTAAATTCAACTCAACCTTCAGAAAATTTAATAGGCTGCCAATATAAGTTAACATTAAGTGTTAAGTTCACAAAATAACCATTGATTCATACATTTAATTCAGAAAACCCGACTTCAGAACCATTGATCAACCAAGTACTAACCAAATTAAGGAACCAAATCCCAATCAAGATTTAAACTATATTCAGCACCAAGTATCAACGAATAAAGAAAACAATCAAACCCCAATCAAATTCTTAAAAAATCAGAAACAAAACCAACAAGCTCACAAACGAAATCCCAAAGTAAATTCCAACGTGATTGGACAATTTCACCCCATATTAACAAAAACCCATCAAGAATTAAACAGCCAAGATCCCAGAAAACGAGGGGGGAAATCACCTTTGATAAAGTTTCTACAATGGTATCAAGTATATGCCTTGATTGCCTCTCGTAATACTCTTCCACGGTGAACTTCCACCCTGGATCATTATGAGAATGTGGAACCACAAAAACCTTCAACTTTTCACTATCCCATTCATCTCCTTTGTAAGAAACTTTCCACCCTTGTGTCCAAGCCCCTCCAGGCTCATCCAAAAACACATTTTATCATACAATTGTTTAGTTGTTATATCAACTACGGAACCATTCTGGTTCGAGTTCCACCCGGGTTTTTTCCGGGTTACAGCCCTCCGGGTCGAGAGCCTTCTGGTCAGGGATCGGGGCTTGAAGTGCGAGGAAATGGGTTTGGGAATCCCGAAGAGATAAAGGGTTAGAAGGAAGAAGAGGAGCGAAAAGGAAAGTGCTATGGTGAAAAGTTGGTGAAGAGGAAGTTGATCAGAGCCGTCCGTTTGCGTAACTTCCGTGTCTGATGGGCTTTGGGGTTTGATTTGACGGTGGGTGACGATGAAGACGGAAGCAATGCCTGTGTCCATCCTCCGCCACGGCGGTTGCTGCCAAGGTAGGAGGAGAAGGGCATGTTTGGGATTATCTTTCTTTTCGTTTTTTTTCCCACTTGTTTTCTATCTGATGAATTTAATTTTGTGTTTTTGGTTCATTTCTTCGGCGAAAGTCTTACCTTAAAAGGACCGTAGAAATTTCGGACATATTTCACGAACGTGGGGCCCTTTTTTACCATGAAAAAGAAGAGTGAATACAAGCTATGGGTCATTACAACCTCCTAATTTGCTACATTTTTAGAATAATAATAATAATTAAAGATATATTTTAAGGGAATGATTGATATAAAAAAAAAATTAAGTTTTTGTTTTGAATTTGAATGTGAGGTCAAGTTAATGATTTAAATACAATAATTATATAATATGGAAGTCTTAATATATTCATTAAAAAAAACAGTTGGACGTCGGATGTGTTAGCTCGATCAATCAATAAAAAATTGTTAAGAAAATGTGAATTGGTTTTTAGAAAATTTAGTGAGAACTTGAATTAGTAAAACTTTTGACATAATCGATTTAGAGTGGTTCGAATTTATTAACAAAAGTCTACATCTACTATCTTATCTTTCCACCGATAAAAATTTTCCAATTCACTAATTTGAGTTGAACCTTTCAAGGACAAGATTTAACTTGTAACCTCCATCTCTTACAATAACTAAGATAGAATCACTCTGATCTTTTTAAGATTAAACTAGAACCACTCACTTTTATAAGATTTGATTTGTGTATACAATGGATAGCTCTCTAGATGGGTGTTTACAAAGATGAAGTTCACAAATAATGAATACAAAAAATATTAAATAAAGCTCTATACATTATGTACAAGAGAAAATGAAAGAATAAATATTGAAGACTTTTTTCTCTTAATCTTTAAGTTTGGATAGATATAGTAACTTTCTTTAAGTGTCATTGTGTTGTTTTTATAGTGTAAAATTATTAGTAATGTCATGAATATTTAAGGCATGTATCCCACATTAGAGGGTGACAAAGAGAGTATATGAAAGTTAAAAGAAATATATAATACTAATTGATATTTAGGTTAAAACAAAAGGAATTATGATAACAATTGTATCCATGAATGGTGACAAAAATAGTATATAAAAATTAAAAGAAATATATAATATTTTCTTACATATACAACATTTAAATATGGTCCTTAATATATTCGGTACCATATATTTAAAGTGATTCTAATTTTTAAAAATATTCAATAAATCAAATATATCATTTGTTCATAGAAATTAATTTTCAATAAAAACACATAAATACCAAAAATCTCTTAAAAATAAGAACATGAAAACAAGTCTTGACCTAAACATTATGATGATATACATAAAAGCATTTAACCTTAAAATCAATGCATAGTAAACCCCATGAGATAATGACAATAGATTTATATGTGTTTGATTTTAGGAAACTCACTGATAAATATAAACAAACTTAAGAATCATGAGTTGACAAGAGAACATGATTTGAAGATCAATTGAATGAAGCCGAAGCCAATTTGTGAAATTCCTTTAAAGTTCACTTTGAAAGAAATTAAAAAATTTCTCACTTGAAAAACATTTAAACAAGTTAAATAGAATATGAAATTGCAACCAAACTTATTCATGTCATAAAAAACACTATAAGTCATATCATACATGTTCCAGGAGGGTGACTCAATCAAAGCTTATTTTTAAACTTTAAACCTCATTTTTCTTTGAAAAATGTTAGAGTTGTGACACAATTTCTTCTTGGATCAGACCCCCGCGATACGGGCATTTTAATCTATTTGGAACTCTAACTCTTTTTATCGCCTATATATTAATCAAGAAAGGAAATTCAATTAGAGTAGATTTTTTCCTATGCAAGTTTCATCGTTTACTCTGTTTTCTATCCTTATAAATAGATAGCATGAATTAAGATTTTTAGAGTGGTTGATATTATAACAAATATTGTACTCTTTTGACTTAGTGAAAGTTTCTTCTCCTCTATTCGTGGGTTTTTCTCTTTTGAGTTTTTCATGTAAATTTTGGAGTTCTTTATTTTCTTGTTTGATTGTTTTGTTTGTCGATTATCATTATAATATTATAAGAAACTGGTATTTGAGATATCTGGTTCAAAGTAATGGCAACGATGAAGTATGATATTTTGCTATTCGATCGAAACACCGGATTCTCACTATGGCATGTGAAGATTCGGGATATTCTTGTAAAATTAGATCTAGATGATACAATAGAAGGATTTGATGAGAATCGACAACATAATGGATAAATGAGGAACAACATAAAGATCGTAAAGTCATTTCTCAGATTAATTTACACTTATCAAACCAAATTTTGCAAGATATGTTGAAGAAATAGACGGTTGCTTCGTTGTGGCAAAGTTAGAGCAACTATGCATGCAGAAAATGATAACCAGCAAGTTATACTTAAAGCAACATCTTTATTTGCTCAAGTAGGCGGAAGATATGTCTCTTGAAGAAAATCTAATCGCATTCAAAGAAATCATCTCCGATTTGGAGAATTTGAAAGTGAAGTAAGATCAAGAAAATTTAGGACTGATCCTCCTATGTTTATTGTCTATGTCTTACTCGTCTTTTAGGGACATAATCTTGTATAGTGCAAAATACTCACTTTTGAAGAGGTGTATCTTTGGGGAGGGGATGTTCGAATGAGTTGTAAGGGACTATAAAGGTCAGTGGATAGTGGGATTTACCAAGAAGAGAGGAATATGCACAGTGCTGGAATTTGAACTTTGATAAGTATACGAGGGACTCTAGGCTACATGGAAGCTAGGGTTAAGAAAACTACATATGGAGACAAACAATAACGAGGCAAACATAACGGTTAGAAATAACTAAGGCAATGGCAAGAATCTTCCGATACTGCACCGCACAGAACTATACCTAAAGGAAGAATGGAGGGTAGAGTTCAAACATATAAAGAGCAACAGCAAAAGGATAACATAGGACTATAAATGAGACGAGATATATCATGAGTTACTTGAGTTCGATTCGATTAAAGCTCGATAAATACTTGACTCGAATGGACTTGATTCAAGCTCGAACTCGACTCGAGTTCTCAGCAAATCGAAACGAGTTACTTAATACTTGACTCGAAAAACTCACGAGCAATTCGAAAAAATAATATATTAAAAAATTATTAATAATATTAACATTTATGCGCTGATTTTTTTTAAATGCAATACAAAATTTTCATTTGCTTAAGATTTAGGTTTGTGTTCGAGTTTGAGCTTCAATCTAGTTAAATTTAATATTTTTTTATTTTGAGCTTTAAATAATTATTTCGAGTTCGAGTCGAACTTCAAAATTTTAGGCTCGTAAATTTTTAAGATAAGTCAAGCTCCATTTTAAAATCTTCAAATTAAGTCAACAATATTCACACGATTACTCCTCCAAGGATTACATGAACTTATCGAACCTCCTGAAAAAGTAGCACAATGGATTCGGGAAGAAGTAACATAGACTAGAGTTTCCATCATTCCTGTAATTATTAATGTAAATTATTAATATTTTGTTGAAAATGAGACTAATTTGCGGAATAATTGAGGTTAAAATGACTAAGAGCAGTCACGTGAACTAAACGGATTCAATCTCGAGACCGATACCTTTCCAAACCTTTTGGCGCGCCTTTCATTTTTAACTATGTGCACTGCCACCGAAACTAAACAGCATGTGCCTAATCCGATCAACATATATAATAATAATAAGTTTTACTATTAAATTTTATAATTAATATTTATTTATTTTGGTAAAAATATAATTATCAATACCGATTTATTAATTAATTTTGATAACATTTGATAAGATATTTAAAAACATTTGTACATATTGTATTCAAACTCAAGACTTTAAAAAATCAATCACTCGTTTTAATTATAAAGATGAATTGATTGATGTTTCATTTGATATTATGGTACAATTAGAGGGGGTGTATTTTAGATATAAACCGCGGTTCATCTCAATTTGAATTCGCGGGATCAACCAAAACGCCAACGGAAAAGATTAAAAAAAAGGAAAACCAGATCTGATTTCACGTTTGAATTCTGAAAACCCGCCAATCAAATTTTCTCTTTCTTTCTCACCGGCCAAACAGGAATATAAAGAGATTCGATTCTCCTTGTCGACTTTTGCTTTTCGCTTAACTTGATTCTCTCTGTTCGTTTCTCGGGAAAACGTCAATGTCTTCGTTTGTTTCTCAAGAATCTGAGTCTAATTCACGACCTCTTTACTGCCGCAAAGAAAAATCCCTCGGCCTTTTATGCTCCAAGTAAATGTTTTCCCAGCTCCTTCAAGTTTCATAGATCTGATCTTATTTAATCTCTCAATTTTTTTTAAAATATTTTCCTTTGTATCAGTTTTTTGGCGTTGTATAATCAGGACAGCGTTCAAACGATTGGACTCGATGACGCGGCTTCAAAATTAGGTCTATAATCTATTTTTTCTATTAATTGCTGATAAAATAAAACTATCGCTAACATTTTCTTCTTCTTTTCTTTTGAATTTTGTTTATTTATTTTAATCTAAAATCTTGTTTTAAAATTTTAATCGTTCCCCCCCTCAAAGTTTAAAACTGCATTAATTAAATTTGATTAGTTAAGCATTAGAGACCGATATTTGATTAAAATTGTATTTATTTGCTTTATTGAGATCTTTTGGCATATTTCAGGAGTCGAACGTCGACGTATATATGATGTAGTCAATATATTGGAGAGTATTGGAGTAAGATACAAATTCTTTTGAGCCCTTGTTTTCTTATCGTTCAAGTTCAGTGAATGGATCAGTTTAAGTTGGTTTTTGGCATTCTCCTGTTTAGGTAGTTGCAAGAAAAGGAAAGAATCAATACTTATGGAAGGGTTTTGGAGAAATTCCAAAGGCCTTGGAAAAGCTTAAGGTACATTTCAAATTTCTGCTTTTCGTTTTCACATTTTAAATTGAAAGGAACTTGATTTGTCAAGGGTTCTGCTTTCAGGGAGAGGCTCTGGAACAAAATTTCTGTTTCTCAGATTGCAGCAAATCATTAAGGGTATAAATATAATTATGCTTTAGTTTCCATACTCCATTTGTTTGCTGAGAAAATTTTAGTTTAAATACTTGGTTTTTCAATGTCTTGAACTGAGACTGTTGCTAACATATCTTGGTGACATAATATAAGTGAAAATTGGGTCTAATTTATCTTAATAGTCTTTGTCTGATTCATTTTAGGCCTTTAACTTTAAAACTAAAGGAATTCAAAGCTTTGTTTTTTTAATAGATGGCTGTTAATAATCTTTCCCTTCCATGTTTAACTGGCTGAGCTATTCTGCTTAGGTTTTAGATGAAACTGAAAGTGCAAAGCCTTTGTATGTGAAGAGTGAAGGGCAATATAATCTTTCAGAATCATCAAAACGTTCTGGTAAGAGGTTTTTCTTTTGTATTTTGATTTGCAGCATTTGCTTATATATTACTTGCAATAAAGATTATTAAGGTTACATACAATGATTCATGCATGGAACACTTTTATCGTAGAAAGTTTTCATTTTTAATTGCTTCTATTAGTTTACTTGGTTTTCGTTTTTATATTTCTTAGATACCAAAAGAGAAAAATCCCTTTGGCTTATCACACAGAACTTCCTCAAGCTTTTCCTTTGTTCAGATGTAAGATACTTTTGTTTTATGTGAATTTTCGGCCATAAACTGTTTATTTGCACAGTACGGTGAATATCTGATTAATTGTATACAGGCTGAATTGATCACCCTTGATAGTGCAACGTTTTCTTTGCTGGGAAACGTCCCGAATTCAACTGCTGTGAGAAGTAAGTCAACAACAAACCATTATTAATGTCATGTCTGAAATTTTAATGGACAATCACTTGTTTTCTCTGGTAATTGTTTTGCAGCAAAAGTTAGACGATTGTATGACATTGCCAATGTGTTTTCTTCCATTAATTTAATTGAGAAGGTATGATTTATATGCTTCTACTCTTCATTTTGCTTAAACTATCTTTGTTTGACACTCGTCAATGGGATATGACTCTCCAAATACCTGAAAAAACATTAAAAAATTTTAATATACTTATACCAGACACTCAAACAAGAGTTCGAGTAACAAATTTTGTCTCCAAAAACACATCCAAAATCCAAATTCAGCAAAGAAACCAGTATTTTTCCCTTTATAGCATTCTTGGTGCAGAAGGAACGTAAATATTTAGGAACCTAAAGTCCTTCCAGTGATTCTCACTAGTTTTTATTTGGTTAATTGATTTGCAGACCCATCACCCCGAGAGCAGGAAACCGGCATTTAGGTGGCTGGGATGGGGAGCCAAACATCACAATGGATCAAAGACAGCTTTGGAATTGAATGAATCAAAGAAAAGGACGTTTGGGACTGAGATTACAAACCACGGTTTAAAGAGAACGAAGACAAACACCTCGGTTCATAGGAAGTTAAACCAGAAGGAACATATGGCAATGCATATAAAGCTCGATAGTGTAGAATATGAACATAAAATGGAGCACCATTCAGAGGCATGCTCTAAGGGTTTTGCATTTGGCCCTTTTACTCCTGCTGCTGTATCCTCAGGAAACAAAAATGTTAGAGCGATTCGAGATTGGGAGAGCCTTGCTTCTACCTACAAACCCCAGTATCTTAATCAAGGTACCTTCTTTGATTCATTGCTTAAAGTATATAGTTCAACATTTAGTCGATTCAGCTCGATTGGTTTTGGTGACTCTGAATTTTTTTAAGGTTTTTTTAATTCTTTTATGATTTGGTTGTTTTATATATTTATGCATTTATTTACGGATATTATCTGAAATAGATACATATTTGAATTTGATTATTTGAAATTAAGAAATATTTATTAATTAGAAAATATACCAGTTTGTTCAGTTCGAAAACTCAACTGAAAATCTATTAATTTGAAAAATATATTAAATTTGGTTAAATAGGTTAAGAAATCTCAGTATAATTATCTCTAAAAAAATGAAGAGTTGGAGCAGTGTAGAATAGCTCAAAGACATACAATTAGTAGATTTCACTTATTTATACTAACTGTGCATATCAATGGAATGGTATTGTTAATGTCATTGCAGCTCTTAGTGATCTTTTTTCTCATTAATAGATCTCTAGTATTTCATATCATATGGGATTATATTACAATGCCAATATATAATTGCATTGCATGACATGGTTTTGTTAATGTCATTGCAGCTCTAAGTGATCTTTTTGTTCATTACATGGAAGCATGGAACTCATGGTATGCCGAAATTGCAAGAAAAGAAGAGATTCATTAAAGCCTCTCTCTTTGATTCTCTAACCCAAGATGACCAAACACACATGCTTCCGAATATGGTACGCAGCATTTCTGACACTTTTAGTGGATGGATTTTCTCGATCCAACGACCCTCTCTAGTAATCATATTATCTTCCATTCCATGCATTTTCATAATTCCTTGTGAGCTTCCTGTACCTGCATTACATGTTTTATTCTTTTTATCGGTAAATTAATTTAGATTCAATACAGTACAAGTTTATTATAGAATGATTTTTTCTAATCTTAATTTTTTTTATGTTTATAATGTCAAGATTCAAAATCCTAACATTTTTAAAGAATCTAACATATTAAATGTTACTACATGAACTTTGATTTGCTAATTTGCTGTAAACATGTTATTTAAATATATGAATATTTGGACCGGATATGTTTTTATTTTTATTTTTTATTATATTAATATTTTTAGACACATTTAGATATACGTTAAATACTTTTTTTTTAAAAGATTGTAGGCATTTAGAATATACTAATTGTTTTAAAATATATTTTTTAAAGTAACTGAGGAGTATGTGATTAAAAATAAACTTAAAACAAATAATAAATTGGAGAACAAGAAAATTGGGACCAAATTATAAAAGTATCAAATTACTTAAGGTTTTATGATTTGTGAAAAGATTTCTCAAAATTATAATTTTAAAGAATATTTTTATAATTTGAAAATAAATTATAAATATAATTTCTTTTTGAATTAATCAATAGTATTTAATATATTGATAAACTAATTTAGATTGAGTATTGCAAAGATAAAGGTGATATTTCTAATTCAGTTTAATACATTCGTAAATGCCAGAATTTGAACCATTGACCTTACTTAAGGAAGTCAGTGCCTCATTTTAATAAACCAACTAATAATAATAAATTGATTTAATATACTGTGTTTAGACTCCACTAAATAATGATCTAAAATTATTAAATTAACTTTAGACTCCAGAAAATGGTCATTTTCTTATTCGTTAGTTAATTTTAGATTTAGCTATTTGGCCTTAGCTACAACTTGAATTAGCTTAATATACACCAACCTTCGATTAACAATTTCTTTTACTGATAATTAAATATTAAACAGTTGCCTTAAAATAATTCAAAATCAACTATTTCGAGGAAAACTATGGCAATTTGCAGTTTAATTATAGTTACTTAACCTTCCAAATCTACACTGGTGTAATCAATTTTGATGACATCAGTTTTGATTCACGTACTCAATTATATTTTTAAAAAGAAATTCAAATCGAATATTATAAAAATTTATTACGAGGATAATTCTAACTCATTTTATTTTATTAAAAATATTAAGAATCAAACTTTTAATTTTAGTTAAAAAGAATAGTATCTTATCCTATTAAACAAACTAATTATTAATATACAACTATATTTTAATTGTATAAATTTTTTAATTTGGCAACGTTATCAATATAATTTAATAAATTATTGAGTAAACTAAACAATTAATAAACTTCAAAAATTGCCGCCTCCCTCTTTTCTTTTCTTTTTTAACTTAGATTTTTTTAAATATTTTTGTGTTTTTTTAATTTTTATTTAATTAACGATGACATTAATTTTAATGTTAGTTGTCGATTGTTGATGATTATTAGTTCTCTTGTTTTTTTAATATTATGTCCTTTGTTTTCTATTTTTCATGAGATTTCGTTTTTCTTCGTAGCTTTGAGTTTAATATTTTTATTTTTTAATGAGTTTTTTAGTGACTATTGTTACTATTTTGCTTTTTATGCTTAAGTATATTGTAATTATAATTTATTCTATTATTTTTATTAATGAAATTCAGTTGTTATTGTTAAAAAAAATAAACATCTGAGATTATTTATTTAGAATTATAAGGCAGGTGGGATGAAATGTCCATGCAGATGGCTGTATTCTGTGTCCATTAAGAGACTTTATTGCTAATATGCTTGATTAGAACTGTTTACGGCGTTTGCATGTTCGAATTAACAATTTACTTATTTTTGAGTTATTCAAGTTAACTTAAATTATGAGTTAATTTTTGAGTTCGAATCAAATTGAAACTTGAAATTTTCGATTCACTCGGAAAACTGAAATTTTAGCTAGATATTTTAATAGTTTTACAATTTGGTATTTGATTTTTTAATTCTTTCAATTTCTTCTTTATTTTAAGTCTATTTTTATTTAATTTAAACCACGTGTTCCTAAACTATTTTAAAATACCTATCTATCTTCAATTCCTCTTTTTGATAACAACTTTTCTATTTTCTTAATTTAGTCCCTTAACTTTGCATGATTTCCTATTTCCTTCGATTCCTTCATTTTAAATCCATTTTTTTACCAAATTTGAACCACATTCTCCTAATTCATTTTAAGATACCTATGTATCTTCAATTAATCTTTTTTATAACAAAATTTCTATTTTTTTCAATTTAATCCATCAACTTTGCATCTTACTTCATTTTCTAAATTCATACATGAATTTAAGTCCACTTTTGATCAAATTTGAACAATATGTTCCTCTACCACTATAGAATATCTATGTAACTTCAATTGTCATTTTAACTATAAAATTATTCTTTTTTCAATTTAGTCCATTAACTTTATATTTTATTCAATTTGGTCTTTTGACTGCATTCTTTTGCAAATTCTTTCTTACCACCAATTCTTCGACTCCTTTATACCCATCAATACTTTATCCTCAAAATATATTCTTTAAAAAATATATTATAAATATATTTTATAATTTTAAATTGTATTTGATTTATTAAATAACATTACAATATGAAAAAAATGAAGATATATATATATATATACAGTTAGAAAAAGTCGATAAATTATAAACAATTTGTACCATAATATCATAAATAATCATAATTAAATTTGTACAGAAACTCGAACAACTCGACTCGACTCTTAAAAAATTAAATAAAGTTTGAGTTGTAAAATACAACTCGTCAACTCGATTTTTTACCCGACTTGACCAATTGCTAACTCGACGCTCCCTTCAAAATTTCAAATTTTCATATATTTTAGTTGTTTTTTTAAATTTTATTGATAATATTTTGTGTCCCTTAAAATTTTATAAGTTCGTAGTTCTAATATAAAATTATGCATCCGTCCCGGTATCTACCATACTGTCATAGTGTTCGCTGTTTACCTTTGTTTTAATATTTATTTCTAATCCACGGAGTAATTAATTTTGGGAAAAACTGCTACAAGTGATAGTCAACAGCTGGTTTTTTGTTTGTTATCATATTAACGGTACATCATACATATTAATATTGGCACACAGAGGATGGAGTACTGGCAATGGTGCCTGAGCTTATGAAATTAGATAGCTAATGGAATTCGGAGCTGATCAAGGGATGACTGCACGTCGATTTCATCGGAACCATTTAACTCCAACGATTGCTTATAGGTCATTCCTTGGTGGGCTGGCGGCCGAGAGTCGTCGATTAACCCTGGAGCCGGGGCTACTAACGTGTCCAATGAAGGCCCATGAAGTACTGTAGCAGTGGAGATTCTTTTCACTTGGTTATTATGTAGGATCGCTTGATGTATGTGACTCACAAAGCACCATGTTGGTTCACAAGGACTCCTTTCTGCTCGTCTATGGCCAGCCACCTTATTCATCATCAGGGACGTCTTTTCATCAACTTTTTGTAAGCCTATTACAAAGGCATTATTTTCTCTAACTTTTTAAGTTTGTAAATCCAACTTAACGATTCTTTATTCACGTCAACCAATATAAATAATAATTTCTCATCAATTTAATCGGCCGTTTTTTAATATTATTTATTTGTACCATTAAAATAACCAATGTCGGACTAGAAAATGGTGATGTTCTTATTCGTTAATTAATTTTAGGTATAGGTATCAAACACGTTATTGAAAATAATCATTAATCACAGAAAGGAGACCAGTTCCTAGGATTCTTCTCTCATGTATTGGAATGTCCTTTCTAACCAACCCTCTGTTTGGACTTATCTGCAACTTTAATTAAACTAACCTTTTAATCAACCATTTCTTTTACTGCTAATTAAATATGAAATACTTACCTTAAAATAATTCAAAATCGACTCTTTCGAGGAAAACTATGGCAATTTGAAGTTTAATTATAGTCACTCAATCTTCCAGGTTGAGATTTATTAATTACACTGGCGTAATCAGTTTTGGTTGACATACTCAACGATATTCTTTTTTTTTTATTAATTACACATATTCGATTTATTAATCGGTTAATCCATATCAAATATTGTAGAGATTTATTACGAGGACTATCCTTTCAATCCAATTTGTTTCATTTAAATCATTAAGGTTCAAGTTTCTAACCTTATTTAAAGGATATGTAAGCTACATGTTTGGTATCTCAATTATCATTTTCTTTTCGATTTGGTCACCCAACTATCTTTTGTTTCAAAATCATATTTAGCATTACAATTTTGATTTCATTTGGTCATACACTATTAAAAAATAACGATGATTTTGACGTGCCATCATAAGATAATGCCACATCATCATTAAATTTTTTTATAAAAAATACCACGTCAACTGCTCAGTTAATTTTTAACGACGGTTGGCCAAAATGAAATAAAACGTAACATTAGATATGATTTTAAAAAATAATAGTTAAGTGACTAAAATGGCACAAAAATGATAATTATGATACTAAACATATAATTTACATTTAAAGGATTCAATATCTCATCCTATTCAACTAACTAATTATTATACTCATATACCTTTTGAATTTGGGAACATTAACATCATAATTTATTTTTTTTAATTTTATTAAGATATTATACGCAACGATATTTTAATCATATACATTTTGGATTCAGGAACATTAACATTATAATTTAATAAAATTATATTTCTTATAATTATATTAAAAATCTGTTTTCGTCTATTAAACTTTTATAAATTTCATCGTTCATATATAAAATATTGTGTTTCTGTCCATACATGTATTATGCTGTCACCGTGTTCGATATTACCTCATGTTTTAATATTTAGTTTAATCCACGAAGAAATTAATTTGGGGAAAAAACAGCTCCAGATAATAGATAACAAAAACAATATATGCACAGCTCGTTGTTTATTTATTATCATTGTAACGGTACATCATACATATTGATATAATTGGCACACACTGGGTGAAGACAATCTTATTAATATTAGCACACAGAGACGCACATGGAGGATAGAGTACTGGCAATGGTGCACAAGCTTATGTAATTAGATAGCCAATGGAATTCGGAGCTGATCGAGGGATGACTGCACATCGATCTCATCCGAACCATTTAACTCCAACGATTGCTTGTAGGTCATCCCTCGGTAGGCTGGCGGCCGAGAGTCGTCGATGAACCCAGGTGCCGGGGCTACTACCGTGTTCAATGAAGGTCCATGAAGTGTAGCCATTGAGATTCTTTTCACTTGGTTATTATCCAGGACCACTTGATGTATGTGACTCTTGTACTTCCCGTTGGATAATATCTATGACCAACCAAACAAAAAAATGTTAATATATAGTAGACAAGAACGATATAATGAAGTGGTATACATATGTATATATATAAGTAGACACCTCCAGATGATCTCCCAGGTTAATGAAAATGGCGTTTGAGGGTATGTTAACGGCGATCCAGCTTCCTTTATGAGAGAGCACTTGGAGGCCGCCGTTCACATCTTGAATAAGGGAAACAAAGAAGCCCGGGTCGGTATGATCGGGCACACCGATTGAACCTTTTGACTGGAAAGACGGAGGGTATAGATTCATGGCGGAGACGTCGAAGCCGGCTTCGAGTCTGAATTCCTTCTCAATGTAGGTTTTTTCATATCCCAAGATTTTCGAGATTGCTCTTGCTAAACCGAGTTCCACCTCGTGCATCCCTTTGAAGTACACTCCAATGGCATCCCTACCAAATATAGATCAAGAATCAATCCACTATTTAAAAAATGAACGTGTGAGAAGGTAATATTTGTTGGAAAGACTAAACCATTTGATAACGAATGCTTAAATGCTTTTACAGACGTCGTGTTTGAACTCGGGACCTTTAGGGATAATAATCACCCTTCACCCTTTAACTACAAAGGTGATCACTTGGTTCGTGCAACATGTCGGAATATAAACAATAAGAATAGAGAGATTTAACGTACCTAAAGCTGGCTGGTTTGGTAGGGCAATGGTATTGAGGATGTGCCACTACCTTAAGATATTCTCTGTTTTCCCCAGCATGGGATCTTAGACCCCATCTTATCCTATCCATGGAATCCTTCTTTAAATATTCACTCCTTTCTTCCTGATTCGTCAGTTCGAAGAAATCTGAGATACCCTTCAGTGCTGCTTCTACCACACTTTCTTCAACACCATTTATCAGCTTCACAAAACGAACACGAATCTCAGCATATAATACATCATTAACATAATTTTTATATTTATGTGTAAAGCATGCAAGGTTCATACATAAAAGAAACCGAATTCTTCGCATGCTTTTCCAAGGTGTTCAAGGGACTTAGCCCGTTCATTTTGATCCTCGGAGAACAGCAAAGAGTAATCAACGGTGGGGATTTGATCATCACAACCATCAGTGGCTGAGACAGCTAGATTGTTGGCCATAGAAAGGAAGTGAAATTTAAAAGCACAGATAAGTGTTGAAGAGGTTTCTTGATTAAGATGATGGATTTGCATGCAGGTTTTGGAAGTAAGTTTCGTCATTTATAGATGAAATTCCGGACCCACTTCATTTTTTATTTAAGGGTAAATGATATCTCATTAAATTATGTTGGTTTGTTGAGTATCCTATTGTTAAAACTTATAAAATAGTCTCTTGATTATAGAATATTACTTTTTGAGTTTATCGACTATTAAAAGTTATAAAATGACCACCTTACTCTTCATATGTTCTAAACTCATTATTTTTCATTAAAAAAATTGATAGTCGCCGTCAATTTTTTAATAGAAAAGAACTAGCTTGGAACATATGAATAGTCGGATGACCATTTTGTAACTTTTAATAGTTAGAGAATCAACAAAATAATACCTCATAATTAAAATATCATTTCGTAACTTTTAATAGTAAAAAAACTCAATAAATTACTATCCTATAATCAAGAGACAATTTAAGTACTTTATCGTTTATTTAGATATCAAAATTTAGTCTTAATCGTCACTTTTTAATCATCTTAACTATCAAGTAATCTAAACCATTGTTTATCTTTTTTGTTGAATAAATTATACCCACCTTGCTTATCGTCTTTACTATTAAAAGTTTTGTATAACAATCAACCATACTACTAATATACCAAAATTTTATAAAAATAATTTACTTTTTTCCTTATTGTTTTACAAGTAACTTTAAATAATTGAGGAAAAATAAGCTCATGATATGAACACACATGGTATAGTGGAAAATGAGGTGCTGAGCAAAATAAATAAATAAGATGACGTGGATAAAGCCAAAAGAATAGTAAGTGAAACTGTGGAGGTATCGTGTACGTATTTTTTTAATTACATTGTATATTAAATTTTGGGATATGAGTAGGGGAGATGTACTTTAATCGATATATCAATATTAGGGTCTTATACATCTAGAAATATTTTTTAGGGTGAACATTATTAGTAAAATAAATTATCGTAAAATTTTAATTTTAGAATAAACATGTAACGTACATAGATCTACCAGTGGTCTTATATATATTTTTCTAAGTAGATAGAAAGATATTTAATTAAACAGTACAACCGGAAAACATGTATTTACAATAAACCTAAGATATCTTTTAAATTGTCACTGTCGGTTAATTGTTGTTCACCCTCAGTGATTATTTGTGATCAAATTAGCGCACAAACGTTCATATTTCGGTCATACCTCTTTTTTCGTATTAAATTAAAATTAAAGAGAATTGATCTAAAAATTTGAAGTTTTAAATCATAAAGCCAAACTCTCCGAAATGATGATTTTTGCGCTTAATTTCTTGACTTTTAAAATAGTTTTGAGAAAATATAAAATCACAAAGTGATAGGGGTAAAGAGATAAGTTTATAGGTATTTAGGGTGACTGCAAAAGACGTCGAAAAGTAATGATTTTTTGAAATGATTAAAAATCGATAAAAAAAAATGAAGCCCTAACTTTGATAAAGATGACGATAAGAAAAATAAAAAATGATTAAAATTTAAATTTTATGTCAACATTAAATTATTATGTCGTTAAAAATAATTACATTAAAATTAAAATCAAAATTTAATACAAAATTTAAAGTATTTTATTATCTAATGATAAAATCGATATAAACCCTACAATTTAATGATATTTAATTTAGTTTACCCTTTGTTAAATCAAAGTTAAGTACCGGTTCTTTCTCAGTCATAATTTACTAAAACATAGTAAGCAGATAGAAAAATTTTGGCACAGAACATCATTTTTTTTTCTTAATCATAATTATTAAAACAGAGATAATCAGCCCGTATATATGCTGGTAATACAGTAATGGTAACACCATAAACAATTATAATCAAACAGTAACTACATAGGTTAAATCAAGCAGCATCGTAGTTGAGTCTGAACAGAAGGGACATCTGTGTAGGATCTCAAAATTAATAAATTTACATATAACTAAAAAATAAATAAATTATCGATTTAATCCCTCATCTACTATTTCTTTTCTATCTTGATTATGTAATTATAATTTTAGCAACTCATCATTAAAAAATTATCGACAATATTGACATGATTTAAATTATTTTTTAACTTCCACATAATTGTTCTTTGTTATTTTTTGACGAGATTAAAATGAGTGAAATCGAATCATGATCTTTTGAAAAGAAGATATGCTTGTTTAATGGTCTAATGAGTAAAATGAATTATTTTTAACAACATTGACTTTAATAGATGTTTTTTGATTTTGGTGACCAAACTTAAAACACCCTTAAAATGCAGTAACCATCAACAAAGTTTACCCTATGTTTTATGAAACAACTATCCTAAAAATATATGAAAATTGACAAGAAAGTATCTCCTTATGATATTTTTACTCCACGATGTAATTAATTTTGGGATGGAACAAAAATTTTAAATAAAAAAATATAGAGACTTAATATTATAAAATTAAAATATAAAAATAAAATTTTAAATTTTAAATTTTAAAAAAATACGAAAAACCCTGTCATATTTAAACCTGAAATTTTCGTACAACAATCCACCAAGTAATACACCACAATTTACTTTCAGCTTTTCCCCAATTAGCTTTAAATAATTGAAAACATTAACCTTATGAACATGAATGGTACAATTAATTAATATGTTGTGCTGAGCAAAATAAATAAAATGACGTGGATAAAGACAATAGCATGGTTAGTGAAATTGTGAAGCCATGTCATATTATAATGTTTTTATATATTAATAAACAAATTTAATTAAAAAATTTAAATTATTACTTTTGTTCCATTTTGATATTCGAATTTTTATTTTTTTAAAATCATATCTAACATTTAGTTTATGTTTTAATTTTGTACTTTGCCGTTAAAAATATTAGAATTACTGACGTGGCATTTTTTATTTTTTTAATGATGATGTAGCATTATCTTATGGTGACACGTCAACATCATCTTTAATTTTTTAACAGCGAGATACCAAAATCAAACCTAAACTAAACGTTAGATATGTTTAAAAAAATAAAGTTTAGATACCAAAACCAAACAAAAGTAATAATTTAGGTAGTTTACCCTAATAATATTTTGGCACAAAGCAATTTTCAACAAAACTAGGATTTTGATTTTTCTAAAACAAAAGTGGACTTGAACCAGTTTGATTTACAACTCAATTCATAAAAAAAGTGATAGAACAATGAAATTATTATCTAAAGGCATAATGGTAAAATTAGTCCCAAACGTTTACTATCATGGTCATTTTACCCTCTATTCTATTTTCTAGAGCATTTTAGCGTATTATTCTTCCTTTTGGGACATTTTATCCTCAATGTTTCATTTTAGGTAAAAAAATGCTCCTATTTTGGAGTGTCAATCATGTGTTAACTAATAATTTTCATCTATAAAGGGAGTTTTTTGTCCCAAAGTAAAATGTTAGGGGGCCAAAATACTCCAGAAAAAAATATGGGTCAAAATGACTATTTTGGTAAACATTAAGGGCTATTTTTAGCATTATGCCTTATCTAAAAAGAAAACATAGAAACGAAAAGAAAGGATGAGGAAAAGAATTAACGATGACATGAGGATCATTGATAGAACAGTTGACTATAATTATTATCTAAAGATTCAAGAGAGTAAAAGAACTTAGAAAGTGAATTTTAATTGCTTTTTCTATTGGGCTTCATGAGAATAATGAAATTGCATTGCTATATGATATCCTTGGCAATACGTACTAGGGTTATATGTGATACACCAAACACAAATGTGGTGGCTGGAACTTAATTCAGTCCACAATTAACAAATATTTAGGAAAGAAGCAGCAGTATTTATAACGTTGGAAGAAGTTGTGTCGCAGGTCATCCTCAAGCTTCTAGTAAAACGTTGAGAAGAGAAGAAACCTTGGCATGAACCTCATTTGTGTCAAGCGTCATCCCGTGCTCCATCATTATATCCAGGAACGATCCGCAAACGTGGTCCTCGTTTCGGAAACGTTCCTGCAGACAGTATAGTCCGATAAATCGAGTCCCAATTAGATTTCATAAGGTTTAGGGTTTCACCTTTACATGGTTAAGAAAGTTGGTTACTCTATCCAATCGAGATGTCTTCTCCGAACAAGAAGCGTCCTTGTCGAGGGTAATGACATATCCTTGTGGCAGGAAGACATTGAATACATTGATGAGGTTGTTATGGCCTTTAACTAACTCTCCTACTCGGAAACAGGCGGTAACTAGGCCGATCATGCATGAAAGAATCCAAGATTTAGTAGGTTAAACCAACAATTATTTACCTTAAAAGAAACAAAGAAAAGAATACCTGTTATCCAATAAATCATTCATGAATTGATGGAACATGTCGTACTTCCCTTTCTCATCCTCAAACACCTCCTTCGCTGCCTTCATATAACTCTCTGCCAGTTCATGACTTGGCATACTTCAACAATACCAAATCCAAGAATCACAAAAGCATTCAAGTAAAACATGCCAAATCAATGATATTTAACGAATCACTGAATTCAACGTGATGAACAAAACAATCTAATAGCAATGGACTAAGGAAAATCAACTTACGCTGTAAACCCAGAAACCAAAAGAAAATAGTAAGCTGAAATTGTTTTCGCATAGGAGTAATCTTTGAACAAATATAAATAATCCCATTTCAAGAATTGGGTTCAAGAAATGAAATTTAGTTTTAAATCATGATTATTACCTCCAATTTGATCCGGCGTCTGATTTAAATTTAAAAGTATTTTTATTTATTTCTCAAAAATTAATTAAAAACTCGACTCCAATCGAATTTAACATGATTTTTAATATTATATATATTTAATTTAATAGTATAAAATTAAAGTAAATTTCAATATAATACGATAATTCTAGTAGCTTATATGTTGAATTTTTCATGGAAATTGGAAAACCATCTGGACAGGTTTGGTTCCAAGTAATATTGAACATTTTACATGGAAATTGCTTATTAACCGGATTCCTACAAAATGTGAATTGATGAAAAATGGTGTTTCTCTTCTAGATAATTTGTGTTCTTTGTGTGGAAAGGAAGAAGAGTCAATTGAACATTTA